AACGGCGCGCAGTTCATCCATGGTCTGCCCCTCCCGAGCTCATCGCGCTTCTCGCGGGCAGTGGCCCGCGGCTGCCCGGGGGCGCGGCACCTGCAGGGCGAGGCCAAGGACTTGGTCTGCACATTCCAGAGGCGCCGTTCTTCGAGCGCGCGGTCGAGGATGGCATCGTCAGAATGCGCGCAGCTGGTCGAACGCAAATGTACTGCCGCGCGAGCGAGGGCATCCCCTGGCCAGAGAAGACGGAGGGGGCCACGGACGCTGGAGACGCGGCTCTCGGGCTACGCGCAGTGCATCTGATTGCCCCGCTGGGCAAGGCTTGGCATGCAGGCGACTCATCTCTCCCACTTACGCCTCATGCAGCGCGTGGATTTCTCACGGGGCGCTGCAGAGATAACGCCATCATTGCAGCGAGTACCACCCCTTATCGGATCAAGCAGGCTGGGCGAAGCTGTCTGCATCGCTTCCACGACCTGGGCAACGCCTTCGGCAGTATGGAGTGGGCGGAGCTTGGCGGCGTCAGCGCGGAGCTGATTCGAGAAGACCTTGGCGGATATTTTGGACGGCGACGGCATCGCGGCGCGGTCGTCGCCCTGCCGAGCGCGCAGGGCACGCCCGCTCTGCCCGAGCCAACTTGCGGCGCATTGATGGGGGGTCCATAGGTGGTGCGTCTTTTTGTCTCTGGATTTCAGGCGAGGGTCGACGAGCGGCCCCGAGCCCTGACGGAACAAAAAAAACAACAATAGAAAATGGGGAGCTGAGGATAACACGCCCATTTACGGGACGAGCCGTGGGCCGTGGACTTGTCGCTGCGCCAGCGCGCCGACGACCTCGCAAGGGCCATCCTGGGCAAGGAAGGAGAGCTAGCAAGCAGGGGCATGAAAACAAACGGGGAGCTCGACGCAGCGCTGGAACCTGTTGGCTGCCGCCAGAACCCCTCGAAGCAGGAGGCCACCCCCGCGCTCGCGGGATCGGGGTCATGCCGCGACGCGCAGAGCCCTAGGCAAGCTGGGGTCGTCTTGCCCGCTCGCCGCAAGCCGCGCGCCAGATGCCTCGGAGACGAGGTCGCCTCAAATAGCCGCTTCTCGCCAGAGCTCTAAAAACGACGTCGGGTTGTGGCTGCTGTGTTTTTGTTGCTTCACTCCTTGGGGCGATTCTGGATCTTTAACGCGCCCACCGGATGCGCGAAGGGGCATGCTCATTTGTCGCGTCCAGAATGCAGCGTTGCACAGCAATGAGTTATTTATTCTAAATGAAAACGATTGGCAGCCCCTCGATGAGTTAGTTGCACGCCGAGCACGCACTGCGATGACAGGTGCAGCGCGCGCAGGTGGAGGAGGCGGTGGATGGCAAGACGCGCGTTGCACACAGGTCGACGACGACCCCGGAGATGCTAGAGCATTGGCGCATGGCCCCCTGTAAACTAGAAGGTCTAGTTCGCAGAATAAAACGGTATCCAGCCATGGCGCGTTTGCCGCGCCAACGTAATCAATCCGCACCGCACCTTTCGGCGCGCGCGTCTTCGACTCGGAAGAAGCGGCACTTGGGGGTGACATTGCTGATTGCGCAAACCCGTGGGCGAAGAGAGTTAAAGCGGATAGTCTAAATAGCTTGAATGTATTGGATGATGAAGGAGGCGATGTTGGTAGCATGGCTCGTCTTGGGTTCCTTCAGATATTTCGAAATCCTCAGTTGGGGTAGATTCCGCGCAGATGGATTTCACGAGGCTTCGACAAGTGGCGTATTCGGCAGCTATGCCCCCACCAGGATGGACCCCCTCGACGGCGCCTCGCGCGACCCCGATCTGCGCGCCGCGCCGACAGCAGGAGCTTGAAGAGTGGGTCTGTAGGTTCGAGATGGAGGAGGGAGTGACTCGCTTGAAAGAGTTTCGCTCCTTGAAGAAAGTCGGTTGCACATCGCAAACTCGCATGCCGTGGCCTGCGCGACCCGTCGGCGTCTCTAGTTGTAACCAATGCGCGCCCTTACTGCGAAGGTGTGCATGGTCTATCGTGGCAACGCAACAACGCGCAGTGACAAGTGTACTGCGAGGTGGCCCATGCGTCAATCTATCCAGATGCATCGGAGGCCCTCTGCATCCCGACCGTCGCCGGTGCCATTTACGCTCGTTCGAGGCGGGCGCCTTTTCGGGGCTGCAAGAACACCTGCAGTCGCGCGCTCCACCCTTCGACTCTCTATGAACTGCCGACGACGCCGTTCGAGCTGAAGGCCCCAGCGCGGGGGGTGCGGCGCGAAGGAACTCGAGAAAACGCCGCTCAAGGGGGCAGAGGGCAGGCCACAGAGATCATAGACAGCAGCGAAGAGAACATTCTTTTCGCTTCGCGTATCCACACCAGCCCATCTCACAGCAGCAACTCTCGCGAAGCATGCCGACAGTCGTGTTTTTTTTTCAGGCGCGTGGCCGCTGGGCCCCGCATATCTCCCCTGTTCCTCCTTCCTCCCGCCTCCTTGCACATCCTCCTTGTGGGGGGAGCGGGAGAAGGAC